TGTGTACTTGATGACACTTTGTGTACTTAATGACATCATGTGTACTTCATGACATCATGTGTTCTTGATGACATCATGTGTACTTGATGACATCATGTGTCTGCAGTCACCTTGTGGTGTTTTCGTAAATGGAGCAGCAGAGTGATTCTTGTTTGCACGTCACAGTTTGTGCTGTTTTCTACGCTCTTGTTTACACGTGAACGACTTTGGAAGAAGTTTTTGATGATGATTGTGAAACTGTTACACAAGTACACAGTAATGCTGTGATTGCATCACTGTTTGAATAAGATCATAACTTGAATCTGCAGTAGTTTTGATGGTGCTGCCATGTTTAAAGTTTTATTTCAGCAACAAGCTCTGTGGCACAGACGCTTCAGCCTCGAACATGAAAACAGTCACACCTAAAATGGAAAGTTGTTTGTTGTTGTTGTTTGTTGTTGTTGTTGTTGTGTATTTGTAGAAAACTCAGACATATTTCAGTTGTTCCAGAGACGGTGCAGCTCAGAAATATTCTGTCACAAGCTCTGATAATTGAAGAGTGAGCAGGACAAACAGCACTCTCCTCTGCCGTTGTGACTGTTGTTGATTGACTCGGACAAGTGCACAACAACTACTGACCGTCGCTGTCCGTAGAGTGCACGTGTGATTTAGCATGAGTTGCTGTTTTCCTTGAGTCGATGCCGGGCGTGTCCCAAAGCTTCTACTACGGCCCCGCTTATACGTGAACTATGGAAACGCTGGTGATTTTAAGGTTTATTGGGTTCAATCAACATAAAACACGTTTAGCTGAATCAGCTGAAGTTTCCAGGAAGTCATTTAGGAAATGAACTGCCGTCGCTTGAAAATGGATCTTTTTTGACCCAAGTCTCGTGTGCTGAGTGAGCCGCACTTTTTTAGAGAGGAACTGTTGTAAGATGAGGTGTGTGCATGTGCACAGGAATGGAGGGGGTGTAATTATCGTATATGATGCCGGGCTTCGACCGAACCAACGTGCAGTCCCAGCATGAGAAGCAGTCGCATCCAAAATGGTGAAAACAGGAACTTTGTTTGAGCAGAGGAGGAGGTTGGGATGTTCAAAAGGATGAGCAGCACAAACAGAACTTTGATCCAGCTGATGTAGTTCATCTGCACTGCAGAAAAACTGTAGACTGCATAGCACATGCCCCCCCCCCCCCCCCCCCATGTTGAGACCTGGGTTCACATAGCTTTGGTTTTAGAGGAAAGAAGCGCTGCTGTCCTGTGCACACGCTGCAGCAAACAAGTTGTGGTTGCACTCAAGATCAAGACCTGAGTTTCAAACTGTTTGGTGTCTGCTGTCATTACATGAGCAGCAGGACGGATGTGTTCCTCTGTCAAATATTATAATAATGATAATAAACTTTATTTCTATAGCACCTCCAACAACGCCCTGCACTCACCAAAGTGCTTTACAAGATGAAACAAGATTAAAACAGGACACAGTAAACCAGTGCAAATTAAAAATACAGCAAGAATAAAAGAAGGTAAAAGAGATTAAAATAAATTAATAAAATAATAATTTAAAAAAAATAATAAAATACTAAAAGTTTAACATTAAAAGCTCTTTTAAATAAGTATGTTTTCAGTTTGACTTTGAACAGAACCAGATCAGAGATGCTCATGGGGAGGAGGATTCCAGGCTGCTGGACCTGCACCAGAAAAAGATGCTGTTGTTACTTTAAACTCCTGGCAAACATTTGTTAAAACATTTGTTAAAACATTTGTTAAAACGTTTGTTAAAACGTTTGTTAAAACATTTGTTAAAACATTTGTTAAAACATTTGTTAAAACGTTTGTTAAAACGTTTGTTAAAACATTTGTTAAAACGTTTGTTAAAACGTTTGTTAAAACATTTGTTAAAACATTTGTTAAAACGTTTGTTAAAACATTTGTTAAAACATTTGTTAAAACGTTTGTTAAAACGTTTGTTAAAACATTTGTTAAAACATTTGTTAAAACGTTTGTTAAAACATTTGTTAAAATGTTTGTTAAAACATTTGTTAAAACATTTGTTAAAACATGAGTGGTTCACTTCAACATTAGAAATGGTATGAACTAAACACACTTTGATTATCAAGATATTGTAAAATAGTAATGATAATGTAAAAAGGAAGAGTGTTCTTTCAATTGATTAGTTCAGGATACAATTAAATAGTCTCTTGATGAGATAATTTGTATTTCTGGATTCAAATCAATGAAATAACAGTTCCTGTCCCCTGAAGGTCTTCAGAGACAGGTTGTTGTCGGAGGCCTAGTTCACTACAAATTCAAAGAGACTAATACTTTGTACCTTAAAATAGTTACTGCAGTAGATGTTTTCATGTGTCAGAGTGATACATGGCAATAATTTACAGTGAAATTCATAAAGTACTAAGAGCGTAAATTTTACTGTACACAACCAATTAAACACTTTGTGTAAAATCAGTTTAGTGTCAGCTGATCGTAGTAAACAAAGACTAAACTTGTGCAACCAGAAGTTACAAGAAATAAAACACACAAAACAAAACACAACTAGCTTCAGGCGTTAACCTTTAATTGAACCAGTAAGTTACTAGGACAGAAAATGGAGGCTGTACCTGCAGTTACCTTCGTACACATGAACATGTGGTACTTCCTGTTTATAACGGTTGTAATCAGCTGATCATGAGGTCGCCGCAGGCTTTATCATCTTTTACTTTTTTGTTTTGACTCCGTTGAGGTTTTGTAAATGGAATAAACTGTATTCCACTCTCCAAACACTCAGGGTAACTGAGTGAACTCCATGTTCTCCTCTGACTGCAACGTGTACGTGAAGCAAAACCCCGACATGTTGTCAGAGGTAAAAGTGATGCAGTTTCTGCAGGTAAGGGGCGTTTCACTTCAGGACAGATGGAGGTCGCTGACTGGTCAGTTTCTGACGAGCGTGCTGGATTGATTGACAGGTGTCATGTCAGTTGGGGATGATTTTCAGTTACTACCACACGTAGCTCGATATCTGCACAGTTTCCAAGTCATAGACAGTTATATGTTGGCTGCAAAAGTTCATGAGTCGTACATGTTTATCTTATGATTACATTTAAGAGCTTCATTAAAATTGACCCACTAGTTCATGAGTTATTTTGCTAACACTGCAGACAAACACATACATGCAGACACGAGAAAACATTGTTGCCTTTGTTTTTTAATGCCAGACAATAGAGTCATGTTCATGATGACATCAGAAAATACACTAAGCTTGTTAAATAGTCAAAAATATTGTGTTGCCTTCAGTATTTAAAAATATCTGTATCTGTACTAATTAATACAACGATTGGCATCAAGTGTATGGAGTTCTAAACATTTGAACATTTACACGTCTAGGAAAT